ACTTTTGCTTATTATAATTAGAAATACAAAGCAATTCTGCAATAAGTGAAAGGGAAAGCCTGGAAATACCAACTATTAATGAAAATTCAGAGACAACTGCTGTTAATGAGAACCCTGGAGTAACTATTATTAACAAAAAATGTAAAACATGCAAGGAACCATCTTGGGTGTTTAAAGAAGAACACTTTCAACCTAACCCTTCAAAAAGTAAAAATTTATTTTAGGTTATATCACAAAATCCTGATATCCAAATCTCGAAAACCATAATCCAGACACGACTACTACTGCTATCATTGGCTACTGCCTCCAAAAATAGTACCTTCCATAATTAAAACCTGGGTATTATTCACTATCCGTACTGGTTTGTTACTTAAATAAGACCTGGGGATAGTACCCAGTTCTCTACACAGTACTCATGAGTACTATTCAATTTTAAAATTGGAGTTTTTGAATAAGACCCTGGGTCTGTAGGCAGTAGCAAACAGTAATATTTAAAGATTAGTAATAACATTAACAATTATTGTCAGACTTTAATTGTACGTCATGCATGTCAGTATTATGGCCTATCGAAATTTTGGATGTTGAGATTTTGTGATAAAAACCTTTATTTTATTAAGTTATAATTTCTGTTATTAGTATATAATATGTAAAATATAATTTTTTAGTTGGTTATGTTCAATGTATGCATTGCAAAATAATTTAAAGTATGAAAGTGAATCTGGAACCAGCTCCTTAATTCGGCATATAAAAAACACAAAGTGTAAAAATTTCTTAAAGTTGACGAATTACAACAAACATTGAAATTAGATACATTAGGTCTTAGTACATACAAATTTTCTTAAGAAAGAAGTCGTGAAGACTTGTCAAAAATGATAATGATGCATAGATACTTGTTTCGTATAGTTGAACATGAAGAATTCCAAACCTTTGTTAAAAATTTGTGGCCAGAATTTAAGGTGATGTGTGAGAAGACAATATGTAAAGATTGCAGTATTATTGTTGATGATCTTAAAGTAAATATGCATACAATAATACAAGAGGCTTCCGAATATTTGTGTTATACAACTGATTTATAGACATCGATTCAGACTGTTGGATACATGGTAGTTACATGTCACTTTATAGATAAAGACTGGAAGTTTCAAAAAATAGTTTTAGTGTTTAAGAAGGTTCCTGTGCCGCATACGGGTGTCTCTATCAGTTAAACTCTTTCTAATTGTTTTAATGATTGGTAAATACTTTAAATCTTAAATCAAATAAATATTAAGAAATAAATCGTGGTTGAAGGGTATAAAAAAAATAGTCAGAAATTATTATCCCTTAAACATATTCCAGGCAAATTTTCCTGAAAACTTCACGATTGATCTATGATTAAGCTATCAAATTATATTTAATTGTAGTCTAAATTGTAGTAAATACTAGTAAATATGTAGTTAAATTAACGATTTAAAGGATAGTTTTGCTATAATACTAAAATGTAGTTAGTTTACAATAAAAGGTTTTATTTGACTAAGTAAACTTTTCTTACACTTTTAATAAAAATTATATAATAAGCTATTCCACTCTGGTGGTAGAATTATTGAAATCTGATTAGTCCATTTCTTTTTCGTAACTATATGAATTTTACTTATTGTCAGAAACTTTCGACATTCCATCACTATAAGAAATTATTAATTTTCTACCAATTTTCACTAAGTTTCATGCCCTTCAGCTGCAATTTACCACAAATTTTATAATTGTAAAAATACCAACTACTACTAAACAATATTAAACAAACTACTAGAGGTATTATGTCAAAAATATTGGCAATTACTACTGATAACATGACCAGTAATGATGCTGCGATAGCTAATCTGAAACATAAACTTGGGGAACAGAATATGCTTATTGCTAATGGATATTTATTACACCAACGCTGTTGTGCTCACATAGTGAACCTTATTGTTAACAATGGTCTTAAGAAAGTTAAAAGTATCATATGCAAAATCAGAGAGTATGTAAAGTGGATTGATGGTTCACAATGTCGACAACAGAATTTTGAGGATGCTATAATCAGGTGTGGTAATGAACTTGCATCAAATCGATGACCAACTCTTGATGTACCTACCCATTAGAACTCTGTGTATCTAATGCTCATGTTCACTATTCCTTATAAAGATGTGTTTGAGCAACTTGCATTACGAGACACAGACTTCGGGCAAATTATGGCTTCTGATAAAGACTAAGAAAAAGCTAAAAGCATTTGTGATTTCCTGAAACCATTTTACGAAGGCATTTTTTTTTTTTGCTTATATAAAAGCAATATTAATCTTAATTTTTAATATTTATGAGGTTAAAGGGTATAAAAATAGCAAATATGATAGTAGAAATTACCAGAAGTTTATATAGTTTTTCTATAGAATTGAAATGCAGCTAGCTAACAAATAATGGTTTTTTTTTATGCCAAGTAAACTTTTCTTGAGTTTCTAACCAAGATTATAGAGCAAGTTATTCTGATTCTAATACAGTAGAATTATTCAAATTGGTTTGGTAAATCGCATTTTTTTCCTTTATAACTATATAATTGCTAGAAACTTTTATCATTCCAATATTATATAATTTTCTGCTGATTTTTACTATGGAATTTATACCTTTCAACTATGATCTTATACTTTTATACTGTACTAACTTATTCTTTAATTATATAGTTACGAATCTTATTTTAGGAAGCACATATTCCACAGCTAATATTTTTCTTCCTCATATAGTGAAAATTAAGCTGCATCTTGAACGAAATGCTGTTAATACGGATCTATTTATTTGTCAAATGGTAGAACCAATGTAATCCAAATTCAATAAATATTAGTCAAATATGGGTAATATGCATTATATTGCTTCCATTATGGACCCTCGCTATAAGATGTCACTATTGACTCACATATATAAACAAAAAATGCACTTGTCATGCACTGAAGCAGAAGAAATGTTAGATTTTATTAAAACAAGGTATGTTGGGCTTAAGAATGACTCTGAAATTCAAAAAAAGAAATTCAAAAAATAAAGTAATATTGTAATTTTCTTTTTTGAATTTTGGTCCATCCTTAGTTGGGTTATCATTAAACAAAATAAATATCTTGGTTTAGTTTATAGCAATAGATATTTTTTAAATATAGAAAAAACAGGATTCACTGACAATCATTTTAGCTTCATTTAGTCAATATCATGCTAAGTAATAATTTACAAAAATATATAACTGCAGCTAACCAAATGCTGGCTAAATAAACTTCTGGTAAAATGATTGTTGGTCAAGTGAGCACCAGGCAGTCATGTCAGATTTAATTTAATACGATCTTATAACATTTGCTTTTCATAGAGCTACAGAGATCTATAAATTAGAATATGCGCCAAATAAAGATGTTTTTAATAATTCTCATAGTTTTTCTGATACTATTTCTGAGGAAGACGAACTGATGAAAGATTTTGATCTCTTTATTGCAGAAAATTCTACTAATGCCATGAATGAAATGGATGAATTTGAGCGATATCTTACTGACCTACTTATTTCACGTTCTGAGTCATTTAATATTCCAGCTTGATAGAAAGAAAATGAATTAAGATATCCTTATATATCAGCAATGGCAAGAGACATTCTTGCAGTTCCAGTTACTTTAGTAGCTTCAGAATCTGTAAGCAAAGTTTGTTATATATTTCCTATAGTGCGGGACAGCATATTAAAAATGACTAAATTTTAAAATTACATAATCAATTATGATTGGCTAATTTTTATATAGTTAAAAACTATCGCTATATATAAATTTCTTTTTTTATATATTAACGGTCAAAATTTCAAGCTATTATAACTTTAAATTGTTATAATTCTTTAAAATTAAAAAATATGAATCTTCTCTAGTCAAATTGTAGCTTAGACTTAAAGCTACAAATTGGCTAAAAATTAATATTTTGTTTTTTTTTTATTTTAAGTTATAACATTTTTTGTAAAACATATATAAAAAGGTACTGTTCGAATATAATACATATGGACTAATTTATATCTTTGTCAATTAGGTATTTAGCATGGCAGGAAGAATTATTGGCGATTATAGATCAAATCTTGCCCCTGAAACTATCGAAACACTAATATGTAGCCAAGATTGGTTGAAAATTGCAAAAAAACGAGACTGGACAAGAAATAGCATATCATCCACTTAAAGCTATAAATTGTCGCTTTTTTTTTCTTTTTTTTTTATGTTAAAATTTTTATATCGAAATTTTATATATGGAGTTCAAATTACTTAGGTAAATAAATTATTTTGCATTTTACGTACAATAATTTAATATTAACATTGTTTTACATATAGTGATAGTTATATTAGTAAATGTTATAAGAAAAACTTTCAACCTGTTAGATGTCAAATTAAATCATATTGCATGTGTCAAATATTAATTCCAGGCTAGTATAACATCAGGTGATTGAAAGTGTCAAACAGGTGGCACATTGCAAAACTGATCTGTTTATTGCTCCGTATAAGATTTGAGCGAATCAATCAAAATTATTTATGCCCAATAAATATCTCATTAAGTGGAATTTACTAATAAATGTTGTAATTTATAGACTCATGCACATTACCTATACTAGTTACCCAAATTCCAAACTCAAGTCCAAACTACTACATATCTCAAAAACTCTGTTAATAATCTTTATTTAAACAAATGATTTATATTCTTATTGCAATATATAATATATTTACAAAATATCAAGATTATTTTTTTTGATTTAATTTTTTATAAAACAATTTGTTTTTGGGGGGTTTGGGATTTGTCCAGGTTTTGCTAGCCAGTAAGTACAACAGTACCTTATTATTTGCAAATATATCATATGGCATCATCACACTCAAGACATTGGCTAGTTTTAAAGAAAACTGACTTTAAAAAAAAGTAAGTTAATTTATTGCTTTTATAATTTATCTAGTAGTTCATTTAACTAATTTATTGTTTAAACTTTAGATGTTTTATGGAATGACCAACACATTAATGAAGATGCAGAATCTAGAGAGCATAAATAGTAAGGGCAAGTGGTAATTAACAATAACGAACATAACATTAAATATCATATGAATTGTATATTACTGCTGTTTTTATAAATTCGGCTGATCTGGATAAGTTATTATTTTGGCATAATAGGTTCAATAAAAAAAATTGTATGTATGACTTACATATGTACTTACTTTCGAGCACTAGCATATGTTTATTGCACTGCATTACAAAAGTTTTAGCAGCATTACTATACTTTATGTACCAGCTCTATGAAAGTTTTGATGAATGTTACTCATATAACTAATTGTCTGCTCAATATATAACATTACATATTATGCTTGTTCTACTGATAATTTAACTTTTTGTTTGAGCATTTGTCTAAATGTTTGGTGTATTTAGTTAGCCTATGTGATAGTGCATTAAATTACAATTTAATCTATATATAATGATAATGTAAATTGTAATTTGTATGCTGTTTATGCCGAAAGCAAAAGTTTTATATAAATCTGCAGGCTGGACCAGGTATACTTTTAAATAAGGCCTGGCCCGATTTATTTTACAGGCTTTTTTTTTTTTACGGGCTGGGCTTGGGTTTACAAATAATTTCTGGGCCAAGTTTCGGGTTTAAGCAAGCCTGGACTGACCCAGCCTGTTTCACACCCTATACACAGTAAACAATATATTAGACAGACAGCATTCACAAACATTAAACTACAAGAATTTACCAATATTTAGCTAGCTTAAGAGACAAAACTTTATAGATTCATACAGAAATCTGCATCCAATGAAAAAAGCATATACATGGTCAAATTAGGAAACTGCAACAAGAATAAATTACATCTGGCTGTCAGAAACACTTGCATCAGGCCTACAGAAAGTGAATATTAAAGAAACAGAAGGCTTGACAGACAGTAATCACAAGATAATAACAACAGAAATATAAGTAGAACATATAATTGCAAATTGCAATAAGGCAGAGATTAAGCAAAAAAACCAAACAAGAACAATATACCTATATGAAGAAGCAAAACAAGAAGACTGGGAAGAGTATACAAAAGAGCTGCAAAATCAACTAGAATGGAAAAGAGTCTTAAAATGACTAGAAGATAATAATACAATTATAGAATATAGTACAGAGATACTAGACCAGATGCGGGATCCAATAGAAGAAGCTATAATCGAAGCGGCAAACAAGCAAATCTCCAAAAAAAAAATCTTTAACACTAAGTTAAACAAAAAACAAAACCAGAAGAAGACAATAAACACAAACATATTATTGAACTTCAGCAAATAATCAAGAAAGCAAGAAGTAAAAAGAATCAGAATGTAGAAAGAATAAAGGTGTTGAAATAAATAACAAACTTCAAATCATAGAAAATGAGCTAGGAGCAATATTGCCAAAACTACACAGGCAGTAGTCAGAAGTCTAAATAGATGATATAAAAGGCTGGCAAAGAATATTTAAAAAGAAAAGAAGAGAGAAATGGGAACAAACACAAAGAAAACAAATAGAAAAAAATATAAACAGAAGATGTGAAATGATTAGAACAGATCAAGATCGAATGATTGCTAGCCTACTAAACAAATTATACAAAAAGATTGTTCTAGACAGATTTATAATGCAAGACAAAAAAGAAGTTGACCTAATATCAGAACCAGATATAGTCCTAAATAGTATAGCTTATTTTAAAAACCAGTTCAAAAAACAGAAAACCAAACTCGAAGAAATGTCAGAAGAATAGAAAAGAGTATACAACCCAAAAGATTGGATCGATGAGACCTAGTAGAAGAAAGAATAGAAGAAAGTAAATAGGAAGAAATACTTAGAGAGCTTAAAGCGAATACAGCTTCAGAAATATTAGGCATAAGCTATACATTAATTAAACATGCAGAAAAAGAACACAAAAAATTTTCAGAGGCTTTGCAAATTTGATTTTAGAAAAAGAAGACATACCGAAGAAGTGGAAAGTTGTGCAAATATATCCAATCCCGAAAGACACAAATTGGAGTTACTGCTTAAACAACATTAGGCCAATAGCATTAATAGAGACATTTAGAAAAGTTGTTACAAAAATAGTAACAAGAAGATTAGCCAAAGTATTTACAGAAAGAAACATACTTAAAGGGCCAAATTACACAGAATTGCCAGGTAATTCAACAGAGCAGCCAATACATATACTAAACATGATAATGGAGAAGGCACAAGAAAAGAATAAGGAAGTGTAGATTTTGTTACAAGATATGAAAAAAGCATTTGACTCAGTTCTACTAGAAAGCCTTGACTGGGCCTTAAGAAGAGTCAAAATCCTATAAAAAACAAGAAAATACATAATCAACCTGTTTTGTAAACGGCAACTTAAAATTATCACAGTCTATAGTCTAACAGAAGAAATAATAGCAGAAGACAGAATAGACCAAGAAGAGGTAATCTTACCACTAATTTGGCATCTTTTCTATGATCTATTACTAGAAAGGATACAAGAAGACAAAACATTAAGCTATAAAGTAGAACAAAGAGTTACAGAGAGAGCATGCATTGACAATGTTGCAAGCTATAGGCAAGCAGCAATTGCATATGCTGAT